CTGGGTAGGACAGAACACGACGAGAGGAGGGGTGGTAAAACTGCCACCCTGGGGCGTCAGTGGGGAAGCCAAGGAAGACACAAGGAGCAGCACGAGGGGACAGCTTGTCCGCAGACAAGTCGCGGACAAACGCCCCGAGATCCCCAGACACGGAACACAGACGCATCGCCAACCTTCCCCCGTCCACAGCAAGGCTGGGGACATCGCAGCCGAGAGACCCGGGGGTGAAGGTTGAGCTGATGCGCCGCGTACCTCACCGCAAACGGCCACAGAAAATGGGGGGCAGCCGCATGCATCATGGACGTACGAGCACATCCATGACCATGCCAATGCGGCGCTCAGCAATCCCATTTTGCTGTGGTGAGTCCGGAAGCGTGAAGGTCTGGCGAATCCCCCCGTGCACGACAGTAGTCCCGCAGAAGGCGAGAAGAGAACTCTCCGCCTCTGTCCGAGTGCAGACGCAGAACAGGAAAGTCCGAGCCGAAGCTCTTCCTGAGCTGGAGACGAGCCTCGCGGATCCAGTCGATCAGCACCTCAGTGACCGCACCCTTGCTGCGCAAGGGGAGGACTGTGGTGTAACGCGAGTAGTCGTCAACCACCAACAGGAAGTAGCGCTCGTGACCCTGCCCACGGAGGGGGCTGGGCCCCACACATCCATGTGAAGCGTCTGCAGGGGAGCCTCTGTCGGGGGGAAGTGGAGGAGTGAGGAGTAGCCCGGAGGCGACCCTCGACACAGGGGACACAGGAAGGTCCTGGCCCGGAGGGGAGAGGAGGAGAGACTGGGGAAGACCAGAGACAAGGACACGGGAAGCCATGCTCCGAAGACGGGGCAAGGAGGGGTGGCCAAGACGGTGGTGCCACAGGAGAGTCTCGTGAGACAGGAGGCGACAAGAACAGGGGGCAGACTCAGGACCTGACCGGGACGCAGCAGCAAGCACCTGACCCGACGCAGCCACCTGACCAGACGCAGGGACAGGAGGAGACTCAACGGTCAGGGTGTAGAGACTCACGACCCCGCCGACGCGAGAACGTGGCCAGGTGTCGGCCTGTGCGTGCCTCCGTGCAGTGGGTTCACCGCTGACTCGCAGGAGTGAACTGGTGAACCCCCACATCCTGCAGGTCCGCTCCACTCACCAAGTTCGTAGAGAACGAGGGAAGGTACAGACAGACAGGCCGAAGGGGCGAAGGGGGCAGCGGACACGGTGGAGACAGTGGAGAGTGAGACAGGACAGGACCCCCAGAGGGGTCAGCAAGGAGACCGCCAACCGGCCGAGCGGGGTGCCGTAAGGGTGTAGTGCGGTCTCGAAAGAAGGAGCGAGAAGCCCCAGAGTCAAGTGTGAAAGTGAGGGAGGACGAGGGCGACGCAGTACCTGAGAGGCAGTCTCACCAGTACCTGAGAGTACAGACGCACTGGCACCTAGAGCGCAGCCTCACAAGCACCTAGCGCAGCAGTACCAATGCCCGGGTCGGGCTGGAAACACCGGTAACCCTCATTCTCCTCACTATAATCCACAGCATACATAGCAGAAGGATAGCATCAAAATCAAGATCAAAGATCGCTACACAGCCCTTAGAAGCTCATCTCAGCGAGGGATCTCACTAGCCCCAGGGAACTGCTGACGCCAAGCGTCGTCAGGCGGCCAAAGCAGCGCAGGGTGGCGTGGGCACCCCCACACTGCTCACCTGCGCGGTCGCCGGAACGAAGAACGTAGGTGCAGGGACCCGTACCCCCACCCCTCTGACGCCCAGCGTACACTCACGAAGCTGCTGAGGCGGAGGGATGTCCCGCGAGCGCTGCTGCTGCTGCCGCTGCGAGCGCTGGCCACCACCACCGCCGCTACGCAGCTGGGTACCACCCCGACCAGCTCCACCTCCTCCACCACCACCGCCTCCTCCGCTGCCGCCTCCACCGCCTCCACCTCCGCTGCCTCCACCTCCGCCGCTGCCTCCACCACCACCGCTGGCACCACCACCACCGTCTCCGCCGCTGCTGCCACCACCACCACCACCCCCGCCACTAGTCCCGCCGCCACCCCACTCCCTCCGCCGCCACCGCCGCCACCGCCCACCGCCCCCTCCAGCTCCACCCGCGCCCTTGCCCCCCTTTGCCCTTGCTGGAGCGGCGTCTCCCACTAGGGGTAGACGCCGCGCCGACCGACTCAAGACCAAGCAGGTCGGCGCAGCAGCAGCAGAGGCAACAGAGGGCAGCAAGGGGGAAGGAGAGCACCCCTCAAAGATGGGGGTGCGAGGGTCACCACGAGAAGCACCTACAGCGACTATGCTCTTCTCCGCTGCGAGGAGGGCCTTCTCGAGGAGGTCGACGGTGAGGGTGGTGGGACAGACTGCGAGAAAGTGGTCCCTGACGACGCGAAGGGAGTCAGGGAGGCGCGCGACTACGTAGTAGAGAGCGATGTACATGGGGGGTGGGTTCTTAGCGCAGAACTCAGCAGGAAGGGCGGCGCGGTAGCGAGTGTCACTAGTGCGGAGGTGCGTAATGAGGTCAGTAACAGTGGGAAAGGCAGAGAGGTCAGAAAGAGGTAGGGAAGCATGAGACGGCTCAGTGCAGCAGTGGCAGGGGAGGAGTAGCGCGCAACTACAGCGTCGTACAAGGTCTGAGCACTCTTGTACTGACTAAAGTGCGCACGCTCAGAGGTAGGGAGGTGGCGACGCACAGCAAGACGTGCCAGCAGCATCGCGGGTGGCCCACTGAGAGCGGACAGTGGGATCAGCATCAGCAGCAGGAGCAGGAGAGGCGCCAGAGGTGAGGTCAAAGAGAGAAAGGTCGTCAGCCCTGTCGCACTGTAAGAACAGCTGCAGGTCGTCTAACCAGACCTCAAAATCAATGGCGCGACCCTCAGCGTCAAAAGCTAGGACACTAGGGGTAGCCATGGCGACGACAGCGACGCAGTGCAAGCAGTAGGGAAAGAGCTCGCAGTGTCAGTGGACTGTGCTCACCAGGCAGGGCAGGTCGTGCAGCTCTGCAGAAAGGCGGCTCAGCGACCGGGCGGCTCGGGTGCACAGCGGCTCGGCTCCCGGGCGGCTCGGCGGGCTGGGCGGCTCGGGCGCAGGGCGGCTCGGCTCCCGGGCAGCTCGGCGGCAGGGCGGCTCGGGTGCAGGGCGGCTCGGCTCCCGGGCGGCTCGGCGGCAGGGCGGCTCGGGTCCCGGGCGGCTCGGCGTTGGGCGGCTCGGCTCCCGGGCGGTTCGGCTGCTGGGGCGGCTCTGCTGCTGGGGCGGCTCGGCCGGGAGATGCAGGGCGGGGGGCCGTCAGGTGCAGCGGCGGGTCGACCGGTGCAGCGGCGGGCCGGCAGGTGCAGCGGCGGGGGCCGTAGGGGTGCAGCGGCGGGCCGACCAGGTGAGGCGGCGGGCCGTAGGGTGCAGCGGCGGCCGTAGGGTTGCAGCGGCGGGCCGGCAGGTGCAGCGGCGGGGCCGTCAGGTGAAGCGGCGGGCCGGCAGGTGCAGCGGCGGGCCGGCAGGTGCAGCGGCGGGGCCGTCAGGTGAGGCGGCGGGCCGTAGGGTGCAGCGGCGGGCCGTAGGGTGCAGCGGCGGGCCGGCAGGCCGGGCCGCGTCAGAGCCGGCGGCGGGGCCGCGTCAGTGGAGGCGGGGTGGCCGCGTCAAGCAGGCGGCGGGGCCGCGACGAAGCGGGCGGCAGGGCCGCGTCAGAGCCGGCGGCGGGGGCCGCGTCAGTGGAGGCGGCGGGGCCGCGTCAAGCAGGCGGCGGGGGCCGCGACGAAGCGGGCGGCAGGGCCGCGTCAGAGGAGGCGGCGGCGCCGCGTCAAGCAGGCGGCGGGGCCGCGATCAGGAGGGGTGGCGGGGCCGCGTCGGAGGGACAGCGGGGCCCCGCGAGGAAAAGGCGACCCGAGGGGTCGCTAAAAAAAAGGGCGCGCCTCGGGGCGCGCTTCGGTGGGCCCTAAAAAAAAACGGTCCTAAGGAAGGACCCGCTCTATACCATGTGAAACAAGTGAACAGGAATGAAATGACTAAGTCAGAGTTGGGTACAAATACAACCCTAGAAAGCTGTACCCCATATGTGCTACCCCACTATAGCCTACAAACATGCATCAACTATAATACTCTGACACCCGGCGCCGCCTCTGCTGGCCCCCGTCGCCTACCCCTGCGGCCCCGGCACCGCCCTTCCCGGCCCCGGCGCCGCCCTTCCCGGCCCTGGTGCCGCCTCTGCTGTCCCCGTCCCCTACCCTGCGGCCCCGGCGCTACCCTTCCCGGCCCCGGCGCTGCCTCTACCGGCCCCGCCGCCGTCCCCACGCGGCCCCGCCTCCGCCGTCACCACGAGCCGCCGGCGCGGCCGCCGACCTACTGCCGAGCCGCCCGACCCGCCGCCCCACCTGAGCCCGCCCAAGCCGCCAGGTCGCTGAGCTGCCGAGCCGCCGTACCGCCGAGCCGCTGAGCCGCCAGCGCCGCCGAGTCGCCGAGCCGCAGTTGCTGCCAAGCCGCCGAGCCGCCCGAGCCGCCGAGCCGCCGAGCCGCCGAGCCGCCGAGCCGCCGAGCCGCCCGAGCCGCCCTGTCCGGTAAGAGCAGCGCCTCTGTCACTACACTGCCCTTACCCTACTGTTCGCGCTGCTAGTCTACAGCTTTCATGGCTACCCCTAGTGTCCTCGCTTTTGACGCTGAGGGTCGGGCCATTGACTTTGACGTCTGGGTAGATGACCTGCAGCTTTTCCTACAGTGCGATAGGGCAGACGGTCTCTCCCTCTTTGACCTCACTTCCGGTGCCTCTCCTGCCCGTGCTGCTGATGCTGACGCCACTGTTCCCTCACAGTGGGCCACACGCGATGCTGCTGCACGTCTTGCTGTGCGTCGCCACCTTCCTACCTCTGAGCGTGCGCACTTTAGTCAGTACAAGAGTGCTCAGACCTTGTACGGCGCTTGTAGTTGCACGCTACTCCTCCCCTGCCACTGCTGCACTGAGCCGCCTCATGCTACCGTACCTCTTCCCTGACCTTGCTGCCTTTCCCACAGTCGCTGACCTCATTACGCACCTCCGCACTAGTGACACTCGCTACCGCGCTGCGCTTCCTGCTGAGTTCTGCGCCAAGAAACCCCCCCCCCCATATACATCACCCTCTACTACATAGTCACCCGGCTCCCTAACTCCCTTCGCGTAGTCAGGGACCACTTCCTCTCAGTTTGCCCCACCACTCTCACCGTTGACCTCCTCGAGAAGGCCCTCCTAGCAGCAGAGAAGAGCATAGTAGCTGTAGGAGCGTCTCGTGGTGACCCTCGCACCCCCATCTTCGAGGGGTGTTCCCCTCCCCCCTTTTGCCCTCTGTTGCCTCTGCTGCTGCGGCCGACCTCGTTGGTCTTGAGTCGGTCGGTGCGGCGTCTACCCCTAGCGGAGACGCCGCCCTGGCAAGGGCAAGGGGGGCCGGGGCGCTGGAGGAGCTAGCGGGGGCGGTGGAGGCGGTGGTGGAGGCGGCGGAGGGGTAGGAGTGGCGGTGGGGGTGGTGGCGGGGGTGGAGGTGTCGGTGGCGGCAGTGGAGGCGGAGGCGGCGGCAGTGGTGGCGGTGGGAGCGGAGGTGGCGGAGGTGTGCGGCAGTGGAGGAGGCGGTGGCGGAGGAGGTGGAGGTGGTCGGCGGTGGCGCTGCGCAGAGGGTCGGGTCCGATGGTGGTCAGCGCCAGCAGCAGCAGCAGCAGCAGCAGCAGCAGCAGCGCACTCGTGACATCCCCCCCCCCTCAGCAGCTCCGTGAGTGGTACGCTGCACGCCAGCCGGGTGGGGGTACTGGTCCATGCACCTACGTCCTACGCACCGGCGACCGCGCGGGTGAGCAGTGCAGGGGTGCGCAATCCACCCAGCGCTGCTTTGGCCGCCTCACGGACGCTTGGCGTCACCAGTTCCGGGAGGCCGCTGAGATCCCCCACTGGGCGAGCTGTCTAGGGCTGGAGTAGCTGTCTTTGACCTTGACTTTGATGCTATTCTTGCTGCCATGTATGCTGTGACTATTAGTGATGAGGGTGACTGTTACCAGTGTTTTCCGCCCGACCTGGGCATTGAGACTGCTTGCTCTAGGTACTGGTGAGGCTGCTGCTCTAGGTGCTAGCGAGGCTGCTGCTCTAGGTGCTCGTGCGTCTGCTCCCTCAGGTGCTGGTGAGTCTGCTCTCTCAGGTACTGCGTCGGCTTCGGCCTTCCCACACCTTCACCCTTGACTCGGGGGCTTCTCGCTCCTTCTTTCGAGACCGCACCATACTCACGCTGCTTGGCCGGCCAGTTGCAGTCTCTCTAGCAGACCCCTCTGGGGTCCTGTCCTTGCTCACTTCTCCACTGTCCTCCCGTGTCCGGCGGCCCCCTCTAGCACCCTGTCTGGCCTTTACCTCCCCTCGTTCTCTACGAACTTGGTGAGTGGTGCTGACCTACAGGATGCGGGGGCTCACTAGTTCACTCCTGCGAGTCAGCGGGTGACCCACTGCACGGACGCTCGGACAGGCCGACACCTGGCCACGTTTACACGTCGGCCGGGGTCGAGCCTGTACACACTGACAACAGCGTCTCCTCCAGTCACTGCGTCTGGTCAGGTAGCTGCGTCGGGTCAGGTGTTTGCTGCAGCGTCCAGGTCTGGTCCTGAGTCTGCCCCCTGCTCGTGTCGCCACCTGTCTCACGAGACTCTCCTCTGGCACCACCGTCTTGGTCACCCCTCCCTGCTTCGTCTCCGAGGCATGGCCTCTCGTGTCCGTGTCTCTGGTCTTCCCCGGTCCCTCCCTCCCCTTCCTCCGGGGCCTGGCCCTACCTGCGTCCCCTGTGTCGAGGGGCGGCAGTGGGCTGCCCCTCACTCCTCCCAGTTTCCTCCGACAGAGGCCCCGCTGCAGACGCTTCACATGGACGTGTGGGGCCTGGCCCGCGTCCGTGGACAGGGTCACGAGCGCTACTTCCTGCTGGTGGTTGACGACTACTCGCGTTACACCACAGTCTTCCCCTTGCGCAGCAAGGGTGATGTCACTGAGGTGTTGATCGACTGGATCCGCGCAGCTCGTCTCCAGCTCAGGCAGAGCTTTGGCTCGGACTTTCCTGTTCTACGTCTGCACTCTGACAGAGGCGGAGAGTTCTCCTCTGGCCTTCTGTGAGCCTACTGTCGTGCACGAGGCATCCGCCAGACCTTCACGCTTCCGGACTCTCCACAGCAAAATGGGATTGCTGAGCGCCGCATTGGCATGGTCATGGACGTCGCCCGTACGTCCATGATGCATGCGGCTGCCCCCCATTTTCTGTGGCCGTTTGCGGTTCGGTACGCGGCGCATCAGATCAACCTTCACCCCAGGATCTCCAGGCCGGAGACCTCCTCAGCTTTGCTGTGGACGGGGAAGGTTGGCGATGCGTCTGCGTTCCGTGTCTGGGGATCTCGGGCGTTTGTCCGCGACTTGTCTGCGGACAAGCTGTCCCCTCGTGCTGCTCCTTGCGTCTTCCTTGGCTTCCCCCCTGATGCGCCAGGGTGGCAGTTCTACCACCCCACCTCTCGGGTCGTCACGTTTGACGAGTCGATCCCCTACTACCGCCTCTTCCCCTACCGCACTCCGTCCCTCCCCCCGCCCACCGCTCTTCCTTGTGCCAGGTCCCCCCCCGGTCGATCCCCTCCCCCCTCAGGGTCCTGCCCCTTCAGGTGTGTCCCAGGTAGACGCAGTCGAGCCTGTCGAGGTTACTGGTGACTCTGGTGCCTGCTGAGGGTGCTGAGCCTGGGGGTGCTGACTCTAGGGGTGCTGAGCGTGTGGGTGCTACGCCTGGGGGTGCTGAGCTTGAGGGTGCTACTACTGGGGGTGCTGAGCCTGGGGGTGCTACCACTGGGGATGCTGAGCCTGGGGGTACTGAGCCTGGGGGTGCTACGCCTGGGGGTGCTGAGCCTTGGGGTGCTACGCCTAGAGGTACTGAGCCTGGGGGTGCGGA